GCTACTTAATTCTAGTTAAGTCTCTAATCTTCTAACTATCAATCTCAGCATTTCAGTCTATCAATTGACTGTCACAGTCTTACTTATATTAATCATCTATTAAGAGTATCTAGATCTTATCTCATCTAGATTTTTACTAGACTCAGAGTGTTCTAATTGAATAGTTTTTAAATCTTGATTCTCTGAAAGTGAGTGTCTAGAGTGAAGAGAATGAGATCTGATTAGTTAAGCTTGATAATAATTTACTATTCTACAGACACTCTAGATCTTAATCACTCTAGTACTGATCTAACTTAAAGTGTCTAAGAGACTGTTAACTCTAAAATCAGTGAGAATTAGTATCTGAGAATCTCTGAAATAAATATCTTAAGCTTGATAATAATTCATTATAGTGCATCTGAGAGCTCTCAGTACTATTTTATAACTTAACAGTGAAAGCTGTGATTAAGATAACTCTTACAGAGTTTAAACCTGCTCTCTCTTAACATTCATTCCCCGGGGGAAAGGCCGTTAATTGAGACTTTATAGTAGTGTAGTTAACTACTACATCATCAGGCTCAGTTATCTGCTTTAACTGAAGTGAGATTCTCTTCAATCAGTGATTAATCTCTACAGTGCTTTCAACAGCAGTATCAGCTGATCTCTTCTTAAGATCAGTCATTCTGAGATGTTTTTTCATCTCAGAGATTCATACTTTCATCTTCTTTTACAGATAAGTAAGAGAGATCTCTTCAGTCTTAATATAATCTGTTAATACTTAAAGCTCTGAGACTCTTACTCTGTACTACTTAAGTATCTGAGCTTCTTATCAGAGCTGATATAACATCTTCTTATAGAGTAGATAATACTTATAGAGAGATAAGAGTCATTGCTACAGATATAACAGAAATAATAGAAGTGAGAGAAGAAGTAAGTATATAAGATTCTTCTCTTCTTCAGCTGCTTAGTGTAGTGTAGATAAGTGATAGTATCAGTCAGAGACTGCACTGAAGCCTCTTTACAGAGAGAAGATAAAGAAACTGTAAGACTCTGCAGACTCAACTCAGCAGTATCTCAAGCAGAGCTCAGATATACTGTGAGAGAGAAACTATAAATTAAGCTTCTTAAAGTCACTGTTTCTAAAATCAAGCTCTCTCTGAGTTTCTCTTTGAATAATCACATGAGGTCATATATTACTGTGTTAACTGAGAGAGAAAGCAGTGTTATAATAGTGATGAGAGAGGCAGAGAAAGAATTAGATATAAATGAACTGATCAGTAGAAGAGATAATATCTCACTGTAAGATATAATAATTATCACTGCAGCTATAAGAGAAGTAGAAGAAGAAGAAGAAGAAGATGTGATAATAAAAGCAGTGCTTCTGTAGTTTATCAACACTGCTGTCTCTATCTTTAACTGAGCTTTCTTAATAGTCACAGAGACTGCAGCTGCATCACAAAGATATTTATTTACTAGAAAATATCAGAATAAGTTCTTTATTATTCTTCAAAAATAATACTCTTATACACTCACTGTTACAATTGAGAAAGAGAGAAAGAAAAATATATTATAGAAGAGAGAAATCTTTTTAAAAAATTCTATTACTACTATTAACTTTATCTCTAAAATACATTACTTTTATAAAGAATTTTATATATAGAATAAAATATAATAAGAGATCTACAAGTTACTTATTAACTATGTTTTTCACATCTTAAATTGATATATAAGAAACTCACTTATCATGTGTTTAATTTAAATGAAGATGAGAAAAGAAAGATCTACACAGTTAGTAGAAAAACTCATCTATTTCTTTATATTATATACAGTATATATGCTGTTAATCAGTTGATAACTATTACTATATAACAAAGATAACTCTTAATTCAGTAATCTTAAGTAGACTGGCCGCCGGGACCATGAATTTCATGTTTAGTTTCATTTGGTCTGGTCTCATACATTTCTTGGCATGAATCTCGCTGAGACTGATCATTAAAAAAACATGTAAAGTGACTATATATCAGATCTTAAAATGAAACCATGACTTGAAAAAAATGAGAAAGTGATCTCATTTAATCTCATTTAGTTTCATTCTTAGCATAAAGTTACTATTTTTAGACATTTTAAGGTTTTTTTTAGACTATTTTTAATTTTTTAAAAAGTAACACTTTTTGATAACACTCAAATGAGATTTAAAGTTATTTAAAGCAATAAAAATAATTTAAATTGAGAAGTGAAAATCATGATCTCATTTGAAAAATGTGATAAGAGTAGACAGTAAGTCTCACTGAGACAGTATGAGACTACTATCTAATGTTAAAACTGTGTAATGAGATCAGTTGAATTGATAATGAGACTATCAAAAAATCTAGTTCTGATCTCAGACACGGTTACACGGTCAGTTTAATCTTAAGAGTATCAGAACTATACTCTTAAAGAGAAGAGTATTATTATATCTCTAATTATATTAAGACTCTGCTGTAATTTCATATAACTTATTACTTTCATGTGAATAATTTCATTCTATCTAAACTAGTTTTTAATCACTCTATAATATTATTCAGATATATTATAGAAAGATCTGATTGATGAATATAAGAATCTCACTTCTATATAAGATTAACAGATTACTCTTTCTTGACAATAAGATATCACTGAGATATTACTCTGACTATTCTTACTTATAGAATGAGAGAAAAGTATCTGCTTATTATCTATATAAAATAGCTAGATGCTGACTTCTTATTAAAGAAGTCAGTAATTCATTTTTCTACTACTGAAATATATATAAGAGTTACTGTATTTCTTATATAATCTTCTTAGTATACTAAGTATTATATCTGTGATATTCTCACAATAACTCTGTAGCCTACAAGCTTACTATTTAAGCAAGATAGTCAAGCTCACTTATACAGCTTCTTAAACAACTATCTCTACATAATACTGCTGACTAGTCACTACTTTAATTTCATCACATTACACACAGTCACACAGTCAGTCTAAGCATAATACTAATCTACTTTTGACACAAGTTATATGCTCAGAGCAATTCTTGCCAGAGAATCTGAGAAGAAAAGATTTCATCTTCAATGAAGATTTCTAAGATTTACAAGAATTTTTCAGATTCTTTAACTTTGACTTTCTATTACTATATATTCACACATCTTTGAGATTTGAAAATCACCTTAGCTTATAGCTAAAGAGAAGAAGAATAGAAATATTTCTTTAATATTTTAAAAAAATCTATATTTAAGATAGATGTATACTTTTGAAAATAATCATATTTTTTAATCTCAGAATTTCTGAGAGCTTTTTTTTATATAAGAAATTGAATCAAAATTTCTATGTTTAAAAACACACTAGTCAACTTTGAGATAATACTTCTATTCTAAGAACTTATTAAGATATGAATATAAAAATCAGATACATTGTAAGAATATTATTATTCTAAGATTTTAAGATAATATAGAAATGATAAATCTATGAAGTTAAGTTAAAATTCTCTTTCATACTTAGAATACTGAGTAAATTATTCCTGTGTTACTAACTTACTATTACTAATAATTAGAAACTATTTCTTCTCAGATACTTTGTAAGATATTATTACTTATATAATCTGATTTTACTATTTAAGTTAGCTTATTACTTATTTAAGATTAGCTTATAATATAATTATTAATTCAGTGTAGACTGACTGTATAACTATATCTAAGATTAGAATCAGATTTTTTAATAGTTTTATTATTAATTTAACTAATCTTATTACATAGTTTTAACATTAAATAATAGTCTTATACTGTTTCAGTGAGACTTACTATCTACTTTTATTATATTTTTTAAATAAGATTATAATTTTTACTTCTCAATTTAAATTATTTTTATTACTTTAAATAATTTTAAATCTTATTTAAGTATTATTAAAAAGTGTTACTTTTTAAAAAATTAAAAATAGTCTAAAAAATACCTTAAAATATCTAAAAATAGTAACTTTATACTAAGAATGAGACTAAATGAGATTAAATAAGATCATTTTCTCATTTTTTTCAAGTCATGATTTCATTTTAAGATCTGATATATAGTCACTTTACATGTTTTTTTAATAGCTAGTCCCAGCAGGATTCATGCCAAGAAATGTATGGGACCAGACCAAATGGGACCAAAAATGAAATTCATGGTCCCAGCGGCCAGTCTAATCCAGTGTGAAAACAGCAATGGATATCTGGAGAAGCGTCTGAGCTTGCTGAGATAAAAAAAAGGGGGTCAGGGGTTCCGACACACGTGATGTTCACCTTCAAGCGCGAAATGCAAATATACTCCATACTACGGAGTAAGGTCTGCCTCTGGAATTAACCACTTGATACGGAGTACATAAGTCCGGCCCCCTCCCAGACACTAATAGACTAGCCCTTGCAAACTGAACTCATCTTCATTTCTTTAAATAAAAAATAGATCTTTTCATCTGCATGTCTTCATCGTAAATGTGTTGACGGAGTAGGACTTGTTCGAGCTATTTCTCATCCCGTTATATTTTTGCATTTTTGACAAACTGATGCAAGTTCTCTTCTAATGCTCCCTTTGACTGATCAAATCAGAGCTGATATACCTGCAGCTATTAAAGAAACCTTTCCCCCTGCCAATGGCCCTGAGGGTGGGAGGAGGGAGATCTATCAAAATACCATCAAAATTCAAAATACCATTCAGAGAAGCCATTCCCAACCCCCCAACCCCCCGGGCGGGGGCCCCAACCCCAGAAAACCAGAATCCGGACGAATCGTCAGCCGCCAGCGCATCCGTGGATGAAAACTGCAAACTCCGCTTTACAAAAAAACCGCAATAACTCCTGCAGTCCCCTAGCATACTAGCCTGCTAAGTCCCGCAGCTAATACCGGCTTTATATACTGTACAAATCGCTGCCCTCCTCTACGCTGAGCCAGTGGTCCCTTGGTCGTCATCACATCTCTCTAACCTACGGAGTACTAGTCCTGACGATAGAGTATTACAACATCGTCCTTTTCTTGAGACCATGTCTCTCTCTCTCTCTGTGTGTGTGTGTGTGTCGGTTGTTGCCATTGACGGAGTCTTGAGGAGCAAAAAATGTACTGCAGTGAAGAGGCAAGAGATAAAATGAAATAGAAGTGTATAACAGAGAAAGAAACATATATGACTAGATGTCAGGTATGTACAAGAGTGCCTCTGTGAATGTGTATGTGTATTTTTGCGGTGCGTTTCGGGTCTGTGCCTATACAAATGAGACAGATGCTCAGGGTAATTGAGTTATTCAAATGTGGTGGAATTCATTTTCCCGAGTGGCCTATATAGGTAGGTTCCAGGACCATGTGTACATGTATATATATATAGTATGACGGAAGAAGGTGAAAGTAAAAACAGAAGAAATGGGCGGTGGTGGCAGTGGTGATAAAAAACTTCTCCGATAAATCGTCACAACATGATAATCGGAAAGTAAATTCACAACGAAAATAACCCACTAATAAGCGAAGAAAGGTGGCGGAAAATGTTAAAAGAAAGAAACAAGGAGGGAAAAAAAGGAGATATAACCCTTGACCAAATATACCCTAAGCATATAAAACGCCAATGCCTGAAAAACCAACTATATGTGAAATGCCAGCAAAGAGGGGATTGATTTATTCCCCTAGAACCCAAACGCCTTATTTTGCTCTTCAATGCCTCCTCCACTCTCTAGCAGGCGCTAACGAACGATCCATTGGCAAAAGCAATCGTCGCCGTGATAATCAAGGTGGTTATCATTATTACGCCTGCTGGATAGCGTTGTTTCGATTTCGTCAATAGGAACTCGAGACCCAAGTGGGCCTGATATCGTTCCGTCATCCATCACCTGCATCTGCTCGCAATATGGAGGAATTCCATCCGTGGAAGATCGTTTTTCTTCCAATTTGATCATGCGAGGGTATTCCTGGGGCATACCATTAGGAGTCTCCAAAAGAATTGATCTAAGTCCACGCACGTCGAGAGCGGGAGGTACCGCTGCGGTCGTAAACGTTGTGGACGTCTGGGTTGAGGTATATTGGCCTGTTGTTGTCAAAAACTTAGAGGTTGGGTGGTTGACGTAAATGAAAAGTTCTAGATAAGTGCTATTCCACCAACAAAAATAAGGCCTATCACTCGGTTTTGACAATACGGGTGGTGTAGTTTCTGCGCGGTGACGGAACACAGTCCCATCAACTGCTTGCCCTGAGGCAGTAGGGAAGTCATCTTCATGAAGTATCACAAGTTTATCAAATGGCGTGAAAAAGAATAGGGCTGGGCCCAATTCTGGTTCCGTTTTATCGAGCATCAATTTGAGATCGAAATTCGTTTCCTCCAGGACTGGAGGCTGGGCACCATATACAAATTGTCCACCCCGCTCGTAAGGTTGGAGATGGAGGCTTTTAGATCCATCTGGCGCCTCTGAGAGGTTGCAGGAAAAGGCACCTTTGCGCATGCACTGCCATGACTTCGAAAGCTCATCGGCATTGACGCAGTTGTTTGGTGAGCGGTGTAAGGAAGCTGCAGGTATTTGGAATTGGCCAGTAGGAATTGGGAGAAGCGTAGGGGTTGTCGTTAAATGTGCGGCATCCAACATCGTGGTGGCCGTTACCGTCACAAAAACGGATGTAGGCCTAGGAGAATATTAGCTTGAGGCGGAAAAAAAATAACACAAGGGGGAGGGTGAACTGGTAGATTATCAGTGATATACACACCGTCCACCACCTAATGCGGAACTAGCACTTGCTCCGCCTGCTTTCTCCCCTCGCTTGTTTCCAACTACACCTCCAACAACACCGCCAATTACTGCTCCAATCAAAACAACGATGGCAATGAGGATAATAGCCCATATTTGAAGACCACAACACACCCGTGTTCTCCTTGTCTGGGCCAGTTGTTCCTTATTACTGCCACTTGGGTCGTCCGCTTGAGGTTCTCCGGCGGGAGGAGCGCTTTCTCGCCTAGCGCTATTTTCATCCAAAAGGGTTCGCGATGATACTTCCGACTCTGGGGATATTGGCGCATGAGCCAACGGTTGCGGAGGGGGGGGGCTGACATATTCATGCGCGCCAAATTTTTGAGGTAATCCATCTGGATATCTCGTATAAGGCGGCAATTGCTCAGCATGGCCGTCTACGCCGACAATATCTCCAACTTCATTCGCGCCTTGGTTTCCGCGGGACTGGAACGCCTGCTCACGGCCAGGGAAGCCAACCGGGATTGGTGAGTGTACCTCCGTATCTTCTTCCTCTGGGACAGTATTTTGCGGATACATGGCATATGGATGCTGGGGTGCCATTGGTTCAACGTTATTCCGTTCTACAGGCCGTACAGTGGAAGTGGATGAGGTAGATGATGACCGACCCAACCCGGTGGCTTGAGGGTACATGGCATATGGATGCGCGGGCATTGTCTGACCGGTATACGGGCTTAGGGCTCTGGGCATCGAGAAACGCGACGAGGTACTAATACTTCGATGCGCCACGGATGAATGAGGATTGGTAGTCGATGAGGCAGAGGACGGGTGACGGGTAATAGATGAAGAAACGGCATTGTAGGCGCTCGTGGAGGCACGACTTGGAGCGGACTGTTCAGGCTCAGGTATCGGTTCAGGTTCAGGAGACCCCGATCGTTGCGACATTTGGGACTGGAAGGAGGCAACAGAGTCTCGAAAAGGACTTAGGTGTGAGGACAGACCATCCTCGGCGTCCAATGTGGTTGATGAGTTCGATGAAGGGTGGTCGGATTGTTCGCAACGGTCTATCGCGACATCTGAATCAACAAACGACTCCAATGGCTCGAGAGAAAAGGCATCACTGAAGACGTCAGTGATGGGAGAGTGTTCAGCGGAATGACGGCCAGCGGAGTGGGAAGATTGCCGGCGATGAGATCGAGCTGAAAAGGAGCGATCGTGAATTTCTTCTGGTGATGGGGATAGGGCACGCCCAGACATAGTGAGTGTGCACTGCCCACTGGGGAAGCGATCCCCTCCTATCCAGTGCCACAAAACACCACCCCAAAACCCACGCCCAGGCACAAGCAACGGAGCGAGAGACAGTCGAGAAGCAGCAGTAAAGAAGGACAAAAGACGTCGACGATAGGAGGGAAAGAGAGCGGAAGAAAATTGCGATGGGAGGAAGAGGGAGGCAGCGAGGGAGAAGTGGGCGGTGGACGGGGTGGAGTCAGGGTTGGTTGGGGGGTTGGTTGTTGTAGGAGAGGAGAGACGAACTCGGACAGGGCAAGGGAGCCAGACGGGCTGATTGCCAGTGATCCATGGATGTGATTGGGCGAGCAGTGGCTTTGCCTGAGGAACGGCCACAAGCCCTTCTACTCCGTAAGTTACTATGTAAATAATAATAATAAGTAGAGACCTCTATTATTATTACTACTATTATGTAGAGTACTGTACTGTTCTTGAATAGTTGATATAAAAAAGGTATAATTATTAATATCTCCAAATCATCCATCACCTCTAGTTACTACTAACTAACTATGTAAGGTGGAATAATTCATGTCATGTATGGTTACAATCTCCAAAGTCGCGAGTTTCTTTCTTCTCTTCTCTTTTCTCTCTCTCTAAAAAAAAATAAAAAATAAAAAAATCCCTCCTTTCATTGGATTGGTGTTTTTGGCCGTGCATTTCTGACTGCTTCCTCAGCCGAATAAATAACCCGCCACAGATGGGGGACCTTGGTGCTAACTGCACCATACAACCACAGACCGTAACCCTGATCAAAAGTGGTCAGCATTATTCTTGGTGTCATCCATTATCTTGGGAGATGCAGGATTGTGCAGGCTTCATCGACCTGTACCAGGGCATTGATTAAAGTAAGGTGATAGAGCGGGAAAGCCCTCTTGTCACCCTTTTTAAACAGGAAAAAACGCGTTGAAGAACCACACTCACTCGGCTATCTCTGGTACCATGTGCCCAAACAGCGTCTCAGGATGGATCCATTGCCAGTTTCATTTTAGCTTCCGCACTTCCCTAATATCGAATCACCTACGGAGTACCATATCAGAACGTGATTCCTTTGACATTATTTATTATTGAGTGAGGTTGGTTACAGCGGCTGCTGTCATAAATATTCAAAGCGCGACTGTTTTTCATCTGCAAACTCTATCTTTTGCATTGGTACTTCTTGATGCGAGCGAACAACAACCAACCAGCCTACTCACCGGATGTCAGCCACCTTTCTTGCTCTCAAAATACTACTGGCTTGCAGAAAAATCAAATCGTCCCCAGGTTAACTTGTCCATATTTCGACCAAGGACGACTAGCCCAGATTGGTGGGCCTGCATCTCTGACCCATCCCCACTCTTCCCTCACACACCCTCCAGGTTAAAATCGCCCAGGATACGATACACACCACTGTCATCCAATCCCATTTCTAACTCCCGAGAACTATCCTTCCTTCAAACAGGCTAAGGGAACCAAGAAACAAAGGAAGACATCACGCAGGCTTGGGCTGAACCATGTCAAGAACAATAATCAGCTTTCTCCTAGGAAGGCCGCTGGGCAAATAATAGACTCCGTGTTATTTCTCAACCAGACCTAAACATCATGGCAGAGACATGTCAGAAATAAGGTTTTGTGCTGTCCATCTGTCGCCGGTCGGCACCAGGAGAACCTTTACAGCTTTCTCCTCTTTTTATCCAACCGACGACGTCGGTAGTTTTCCTCTACCTACCATCCGACTTTTAGTCAAATCCATTTTTGTTCCTCGGCAAAGTCTCGGGGATGACTGATCGCATGCATTCTCAAAAATATAGGTTGGTTCAGCACGGAGGAGACAGGAGAAGAAATCCGTTCAGATTCACTCTACGTCAATCTGCTTTTCTTGCCCGTGTTCTAAAATGATGTTCCACAAAAAAAAAGAAAAAAAGAAAAAGAAAAACAAACATTTCGAAAACCCGACAACCGAAACAATCAATATCAGCGACACAACAGCCGCCAGAAGCATAAGCATAAGCAAGGCAAAGCAAGCTGCAAAGCAAGCAGCCTATGCACCGATAACTTCAGAGAAATCTACGCTGTATGTATTGCCGTTGATCTACTCCGCAAAAAGAACAGAGATCTGTCTGTCATGATGATCGCTTCTTTTTCCTGGCTCAGCCAGATGTTCAGAGAGCCTTTGTTGCTCTTAGTCTTTACCAGCCTTGTGAAGTGCATAGGCTAAAAATTCAGAAAGCTCGATCAAATAATAATAGACGGATTTTGCAACCACTGCACTGCGCGCAACAAATCCTTGGCGCAACAAAAATCCTATTACTGCGTATTGCTTAGTTGCCAAGTACAAGGTGGATGTTAATAACCACCATGTAATTATTAAATTGCACTATCTGAAGGGCTTGTAAAATCAAATCTTGGTGTATTATAGAAATGGTGTGGGTATATTTATCCATTGCAAATCTTGGCTGCGGAGGGCTGTTGGGAATGATGATGATTATTATCCGAGCTCTGTACAGTGTACTCCGTAGTAGTTACATCCTTCATTGAAAACATCAAAATATGAATATATCTAGCTGCTGTCAAGCTGCTGCTGCCACTGCCAATATAATCTTGCTCACTGCTGGTGCTACAGTCCGCCACAATATTTCAATTTATGGTTTGCTAGATAGGGGGAGTCACTTGGATGGTTTACAAGGAAGTAAATGCAGGGGCGTTTCCAACCAAGGTTGGTCGTGTATTTCTCGTCTTTGTCACGGCTGTAGATAAAGCAAGCGGTGTTGCTGCGCAGGTGAATCGGTTGTTATTCTGGACACGAACTGCTGCTCGTACTGGCGGTTCGAGGGGGGTGTGAAACCGGGTAAAGGTTAGCCCTAGCTATGCTCGCTGATCCGAGATCGCCAAGAAGCGTCTGATTTCGCAACGAAGGAGAAAGCTGTAAAGCTACTACTGACAGTCATCGTCTGCCGTAGGTGTAGGCAGACAAAAAAAATGCAGACGATTCGAAAATTCGAAAATCGATAAAGTGATTGCAGCAAGATGGGTTCACTTAGGGTAGGGGTACGCGCTGTGAGCATGCTTGCGCGTCATTCCTGTTTAGCTGTTTATTGCTATGACTTTCGACCGTAAAATCATCCCTTTCGCCTCAGATCGAGAATTCTCGAGAGCTGAACCACTCCCTTCTGGCCCCAACCCCCGACACCGTGCTGAACATCTGGGCGAACGTCAACATACCAGGACCAAGCTCGTCGATCCATTTCGCTTTTGCTAAGCACAGACGCCCATGATTGGCAGAGGAGATCAATTGCACCAAGTAAAAGAGCAAGGCTTTTCTCCTTTTCAGATATCGAATCTGAAGAGGGTTTCTTCTTCGCTTTCCCACTGCTCGGATCGGCTGACTTCTGTAACGTAAATGATCTCAATAAATACTCACGGGCTGGCTCTGGGTTGTGAATTGGGAGTACTGAGCTGATCTGGCACGGGCCCGGCGTGTTCGCGTTTGATCTTTTCAAAGCTTCTGGATATAAACCCCATAGAGCGGGCTGTTCGTCAGAACCTCCTAGGCGGTGGTTTTCACTGTTCTCCTTCTCAGATTTCTCCACAATAGAAGCGATCTCGGTGGTCTGTTCCGACGGGGATTCTTCTTGCCAGTTGTAACCCCATCGTTTTAACACGGGGATTTCTCTTCCGAGGACTTTCACGGTAGGCTGTCTACCTGCCCATCCTTCGTCTTCTGCGCTTTTTCCTGTCTCGATTCCAAGGCTAATAGCTTTTGATCGGCTGTTGGCGCTGACGACTGCTTGGGCCAGGCTCAGCCTGCTAGATAAAGGCTGTTCTGGCATGGTATATTTCAACAACACAACTGCAAATGCCAGGACAAGAGGTGCCCGATTTGTAATAAGGACAACTGAAGATATCTCTTCTATGTTGGACGATAATGGGAGGGTCAGCGCCGACTCGAGCAGAGAGGGAGATGACGTTTCCGAGGTTAAGCTGGTCTTTTTAGATTTTTTCACAGGTGAGCCAGTGCTGTCGGCCTCGTGGACACGCTTCTTAGCTCTCCTGGCAGCATTCAAGACCTGCTTTGCCACTTGTTCCTCTCCCAAAACGGAGTGAAGCGATGCAAGATCTTTCTTCAGGATATCATCCGGGCTAAGCTTAAGATGTTAGCTAGCGTCGACAAAAAGGAGTATGTATATGAAACATATGTTTGTGCTCTGCATGCATACGTGAGTAGATTAGCCTTTTGGAGTGATTTCGCCTTTGTAATGGCCAGGGCCAGGGGTAGCTTTGAATCTTGGGAAAGGAAGCGTAGCAACGCTTGAATTTGTGAAGGAGTAGTCATCTTCAACAATTAATTTGGGACGACTTTCAGTTCCAACACGGTAACTAAGATGCCTTTCTTGCTCAAATTCTTGAACGCGATTTACGCGTAGTTATATCCAGGTAGCGCTCTTGTGCTTTTGTCTGGCGAGTGGAGGGGTTTGGCGCTTATTTAGCGCCGCGGGAACCAGCAAGTCTAGCCGAACCATCACCTCAAGCTCATCATCACCAACCGCAACATAAGAGCTTTTAGCTTTGAACAGTGAAACGACGCAGACGATTTTGGTACCATAATTGGGCTACCTAGCCCGCATTACAAAATGCCGGAAGATTCGAAAGTCAAAGGTTTTCCCGATCTATCGTCCAAACTGTCCGCCCCAGCGAAAAAATCCCTATTTGAGCGCCAAAAAGCCGAAGCCGAAGCCAAACGTGCAAGGGAAAAAGCAGAGACCGAGGCAGTTTACGAGGATTTCGTGAAGTCATTCCAGAATGATGCTGATACATCTACGGGCCCTAGCGCCAGCAGCAGAACAGGCTCATATGGACGTGGAGGCGGTGTACATTCGGGAGGCTCCATCGCCCCTTCAAAGCGACACTTCACGTCGAGCACGATGAGGCCTGGACCCGACTGCCTAGGAGGTGCACATTCTTTTGGTTCGAGAAAACGTCCGTTTGAGGCGATACAGCCATCCCACAAGGAGAGAGACTCGGCGCATGGTCCTTTTGGCTTTGAAAGCTCCCCAGCTACCCATGTTGATGCAGCCGCGGTTTTTCAGGCTTCCGATGACGAGGAGGATAAACTTGCAGACAAGAAAGAAGCGGAAAGGGCCGCAGCTAAACCCACCCTTCATCTTTCATCGTTGCCACCGGGAACGTCTCCGGCAGCCGTCAAGGCCCTTGTATCGCACGCTCTTGTGGTGGATAACGTTAAGATTTTACCTTCAACTTCCCAAGGGACTGGAGAGCGACGAGTATGGTCTGCGATTATTACTCTGGCGAAAGAAACAGCTGCTACTGAGATGGATACTGTTGTCAGCTCATTGCAAAACAAATATCTTGGATGGGGTCACTATCTGTCAATTTCACGACACCTCTCTTCGGCCGCCATCAACTCTACCATGCCAGTCATGGGTGGATCAACCACTTCGACTTCCAAGCCATTCGGAGCACGGCCAATAAACCAAGGTCCAGGGGGCCATTTAGGTCGTGGCGGCCCGTCGGGCGGTCATCGTGGAGGCTTTGCACCACCATCATCGTACGGACAAGGTTATGGTGGTAGAGGTGGATCTACCCTCCAAGTCGAGGTCAAGCCTCCATCAGATCTGAAGCAACTGAAGCTTATTCACAAGACCCTGGAGAATCTCCTAACATACGGACCCGAGTTTGAGGCACTCCTCATGAGTCGGACCGAAGTTCAGAAAGACGAAAAATGGGCTTGGATATGGGATTCAAGGAGCCCAGGTGGTGTGTGGTACAGGTGGAAACTATGGGATATCTTGACTGGCGCAATGGGAGCTAGGGGAAGACACTCAAGAATGCGGCCTACCCCTGCATCTGTTTTCGAAAGCGGCCCTGTTTGGGTACCCCCGGAAAATCATTTACAGTTTGAATACGTTACAAAAATAGAGGAGTTCATATCTGATGAAGACTATGATTCTTCAGAGGAGGATGACTCTGACAGAGAGGATGATAGGCGTCTCGATTCTGGAGCCCAAGAGAGCAATACCGACGGTATCGGTCACTTGAACCCGCTTCAAAAAGCAAAACTCGCACATTTGCTCGCGAAACTCCCTACTACCAATTCGAAGTTGCGAAGAGGTGATGTCGCTCGGATTACTTCCTTTGCGATTAGACATGCCGGACGTGGCGCCGATGAAGTGGTGGATATGATCGTTTCTAATATTACCAGCCCGCTTGCTTTTACCAATGCTAACCCAGAACGCCAACGACGGGAGACAGAACTTCGTGGCGGGAAACCTGACGATGGTGATGAGGCCAACTCTGGGGAGCATGAAAAGCAAACGGCCCAGTCTTTACCGAAAAAATCATCTAAAGAGAACCTGGATACTTCGGCTGCTAAGCTGGTAGGCTTATACCTGATCTCTGACATCCTGTCTTCGTCGTCTACAAGTGGGGTCCGACATGCCTGGAGATATCGACAACTATTCGAATCATCTCTAAAAACACATAAAATTTTCGAACATCTTGGTCGCCTGGAAAAGGAGCTCGGGTGGGGTAGACTGAAGATTGAGAAATGGAGAAGAAGTATTAGCAGCCTTTTAAGTCTATGGGAAGGCTGGTGTGTTTTCCCTCAATCAAGCCAAGAACACTTCGTCCAAGTATTTGAAAAGCCGCCCCTTACGGAGAAAGAAAAGCTAGAAGAACAAAAGCGTGCCGAAGCAGAGAAAGCGACAGGCGTATTTGGCAGCAAAGGAAAGAGTCGATGGAGAACGGTCGAAGATGATGCCAATGAACCTGCTGTGGATTCAAACAACGCAGCGAACATTCTAGAAGGCGAGAAAATGGATGTTGATAACGATGGTGTACCTATGCCCGATGACGAGGACGTCGATGGGGAGCCTATGGATGATGACATCGACGGCGTTCCAATGGAGGACAGCGATTTGGAAGATGTCGTAACTAAGGAGCTGGAAGAAAATGGCATGGATGGGAGCGGATACCAAGCTACTCAAGATGTATCTTCGCTGGGCGATCAAACTGCCAGTGATGCCCGTCACAGTCAACATGCCGAGCATGACGCCCAACCAGCCCCACGGCGTCATCGACCCAAGGCAGAGGATATGTTTGCGGACTCTGATTCCAACTAATGCCCATTATTGTTTGCCCATTTTCCCTCCTTTTCCCTGAGTTTCTTGAGTGCTGCCTTGGCGTCTGATGTTTCTGTTCAATGTGGTCTAATGATTGATACCCGATGCGTCCTATTTCAGGCTGCCACACTTCATGTATCTCAGATATGCTATTTATAATACTGAAGGATTATGCGACGAGGTATTTATTTTCAAAATTCTATACTTAATCCTCCCCAAAATCTTGCGAGTGTGAACATTCTTGCTTGGTCAGATCGGTTTAGCTTCCCATCCCACGTAATGCCAAGCTAACCCCTTTTTAGTCATGTTTGTTTTCGCTTGAAAGCAAAGTATTCCCCCTCCCGCCAAAAAAAAACCCACCGCAACTCTATTCTTCGGAAGGCAATCTCAACCATCCATCATCGGCAGAGATTTAATCACATAGGCGTGATACAGAGGGGTTTTGCGATCGATCCTAGACAAGATGGCGGGTAAGTTTATTACTCTTCGCGCTGCTGGTTTTTTCACTGTCTTTCTTACCCCTCCTCTTCCTTACCCCTCCTCTTCCTTACCCCCCTCCCTTATCGGCATTCATCCAATGTTTTGTCTGTTTGAGAGAACCTGTCACATCATAACTAACCCAACTCGCTCTGCTTAGACTATCAAGCTGTTGCTGGTATGCCAGCCCCATCCTCCCTACCGGTCCCTGTCTCCCGCCAACTGGATAGATTTGAGATTTGGTGGAAACATCTAGCTAATCTAAGTAGAGCAATTCGTTAAGTTTTATTATGACACTTTTGATGGTAAAGGAGATGAAGAGGGCAAAGGGCGGGACAAACTTCACCTGCTTTACGTACGTGTTGAAGCCCAAACTAAATCCATGGAACGGCGTTTGCTGATAATAAGAATACTAGCGTGAGGAGTCAATGTTGACTTTCGAAACCTCTCGCGTGAAAGGCACCAACGCCATTATGGAGCAGCTTATGGTCAGTCTGCAACAATGTCTAGAACGGCTTTTTATTGCTTGTCAGAACTTACTCATACCGGAGAAATAGGGTCTACCGTTTCAAAAAGTTGAACACGTTCAGTCGACAGTCGACGCTCAACCAACCGCAGAAGGTGGGGTTGTAGTCCTTGTGACCGGCGCTCTGATGGTAAGATTGAACCCTTTTTCTTTCAATTTCCTTGTCTCCCGGCTCTTTGCTGACGCGGAAGCAATTGTGAAATAATAGGTTGATGCAGAAACAAAGCCCATGAACTACTCCCAACTCTTCCATCTCCGTCCCGATGGAACAGGAAGCTATTACGTTTTCAATGATGTATTCAGACTTGTCTATCCTCAATAAACGTTAATCCAACCGAACGATACCATAATGGAAGCTGTGGAGTGCTCGATGGGGGAGTTAGAGGGGTATAATTTCCAATACTACCGAGATTACAACGGTACAGCTGGTGTGTTGTTCAGTGTGTATATCGGAAATATGGCTAGTGCAGAGTTAACTAAATGTCTCCTCTCCTGCCAAAGGAAGAATGCATACGGTTACCATCTCGGTTGTGGATAATATCCATTTCTATTTCATTTAGACCACAGGGAATTGGCGCAAATAGTAGGAAGCAACATCAAAAAGATAATCCATTATATCATTTCTTCGTTCACAGATCGTGGTAATAGGTAGGAGGTCTAGTCCTGCTCCAAATAGTCAGTCGTCAACCCCTTTTGGCAGCGCCACAATGAGCTCGTTTCTTTTTTGGGGGTAAATCGACACGCGTTTTATTTAGTACAAAACCCCAGCCACAGCCACAGCCGCAGCCTTAAAACTTGAGGACTGACTAAGGATCAGTGCTGCCTTTAGCCAATTCATTATGAGCATCTGTCCGGGGCGGTTATGGTAGGGCTGACCAAGGAGCACACAATTTTATACAGCAGCCTAGTGCCAAGTTATGCGCCATAGCAACGGGCGAAATGGTCTTGGCATCCCAAAACAGAAAATTGAACAGGCTGACCTTATCAGGCATGAACACCCAACCATCTTCACCACTCTATACATTCAATTCATTTCATCGTGTCAAACTCCTTCCCACACACTCCTATAGTTTTCCCCTATAGTTTTCCCCTATAGTTTTCCAACAGACTACCGCTCCCTTTCTTAAATCAAAGGGCGCCAAGCTGAAACAACCTCCGAGACGATCTGCTTTGTTTCCCCATTCGGCCGAACAGCTGGTTAAAGAGCGACAAACGAGACATAAATCAAGCTAAAATCCTGACCCACGCACGCACTCCGCGCTCGCTCTCCTCCTTCAACTTTGATATATTGAATCTTCTGGTACGTGTCGAATGAATGACAGCCGGTTAACTGTTCGTCCAGGATATCTGCTTCATCCCCATCAGAGAAACCCATTTTAGCTATTTCCTGTCATCCATCTAATGCACAACACAAACTTGTAGCTGATCGGTCTTTGCGAACGTCCGTCCTCTCTCCATTCCAACCAGCTCCAGCCGGTTCAAGGAGGAGGTATTCCCAAAGCCTATATCAAGTCTTAGCTAGATCCTGGAGCCTTGACGGCGAGCCTGAGTTGAGCAAATAGTCCCACGGGCAACTAGATTCCGTCCCCTTCCGGCCGAACTCTATACATTCGTCAAAATGACACTCGCGGAGGAGTTTAAGTCGAGGAATTTTAGTAAGTTCATTTTGAACTTTCGCCCGTCACTATAGTGCGATGGTATAAACTAACGGCGAACAGGCATCTATGGACAATGGTTAGTACCCAATTATGACAATAAGCGTTTTACCCAACCAGTGCCGGGTATATCTGTTTACGCATTAGGAATGCCATGGTGGAAATGGATCGACTGTTTGAGTGGTGAAGAGATATATCTATATTAATTAATGAACCGTTATTGGGGCATTAAGCTTTGAGAAACTTGGAGCCAGCTGCTGAATTGCAAACTAACTCCGCTGCAAATAGGACTGGCGTTCTATGCATAATCCTATGTTTCGCACTAGGAATTGCAAATATTTTCCATAAAGTCATACCATTCAGCATAATTTGCCTGTAAGTTTTGTGGCGATGTTGACCCTTTCCATTTTCTTTCCCGTTTTCCTGACATGACCATATAGAGCCTCGTCCTTTGTCATAATTTTCGTTGAAATACCTCTTCTCTTGCGAATTTGCCCGACGTCATCTAAATTCGATGCCTTTATCAAACGGTTCACGACGAACTACATGCGAGCTCTGATGTACATCATCCTCGCCGCTGTTCAATGGCTGAGCTTAATTATAGGCCCGTCCAGCCTCATCGCTGCTGCGGTCGTTCTCTCGATAGCAGCCATTTTTTATGGGCTAGCTGGAGTTACAAACCAAGAATTCATGGGCAGCAAGACGCTTGGTGGTCAGGGCGTTGCGCAGATGATTGTGTAAGCAAAAGTGGAATTACGTTGGATCGCATAGTATGCGCACCCTATGAACTATGCATACCAGCGTGCTCTGATTGCTAAAGAGAGTACATCGGAGGTGGAGCATTACGTTTATCGTTTATCACTTCGGATTAAGTTCATGACGATTGATTGTGGGTATGATTGTACTATGATTTACTTTTTACAACGGAACCGACAGGGTTTTGGAATATTGTCTGTATTGTATCCATTCCAAAGCTTTTCCCAGTTATGCGTTTGTTACTTTGACGCCTATGTCTTCTATCTCTAGGGCATTTGGGCGTTTTGATACCTGTATTTCTCCTTAGCTGGTCTTGTCCGCCAACGTTCATTATTTTCTAGCCAGAGAGAAGTTACTGCTTATTTGCGACGGAAATTTCTAGATTACTATTCGGTTTTTGATATATCCACTTCGGGCGGATCTTATTCTTTCTCTATCCATTCTATAGTTTGGGAATTTCCTACAGATATTTGCATGCTGAGCACGCGAGCGCCGGTTCACCCCAGCATTTAGGTGCGGCTCCCTTCGCTGGCCTTCCTCATCTCGATTTCCCAAACCACCCAATATGCTTCTTCTCTTTATTCAAATACAGCAAATCTCAGCGTATCACTTTGGCCTGCGTCATGAGACCAATATTTCTTCGAATTCCGCTATTCACCACCTAGCCAATGAGCTGGCTCATGCCCATCAGCAGCGTAGCGGTTATCTAACTAGTGCCTTACCACATTAGCAAGATTTACATTTCCAAGTCTAGTACAAACAGCGACTGTGAAGTCAACGAAGTTACAGTTCCACTCTGAGGAGAAATCAGATTTTGTCAAAATACTACTAGATCCGAATTAGAAGATCCTATCGTCGTTTGGTAACTCCATCATTACCGAGTCTGATATCCCTATTAATGGTCTCACTAACTACAATTTGTGGTCAAAAATTGCTAGCTCGCACTCAATCCTCTTTATGCAGAAGCTCCCGGACAATGCCACCAAGATGCTATGAAATTCATTTGCAGAGGCTGCTGTTCTGAAATGAAAATAGATACGATAGACGCACAATTACTTTTACTCCATGTGCTCAACGTCGCCTCGAATTGATCCTCTCCTTCATCAATTCTTCCACTCGCTTGTTCACGCTGGGCAAAATCGACACTCATGTGGCATAATGGATATAATGCCTATTCGCTGGTGTGCTCCGCGAGCTCGTTCGACATACTGACAGAGAGTTCATTGAGAAATTATTGGTCATGTAAATACAAATGGCGCTGCTCTTCTAGTGAGACAGGTGCTGTTGCTGTGTTAGTATTCATCCTGTCCTCTCTTGTCTCAGGTATGTCTGAGAATACGCGCCGCAAAGCGGTTTGCGAAAAAGCTAAAGGAAAAACTCACTCACGAGATGGTATCGACTTTAAGTCAAGCTTAACAAGCATCAGTGGTTTGGATTGGCCCCTCAGTGCAATTATATTGTCGTGGATGCTCATGATGCTGTTGGAACTAGGGGAACGGTACTGTCCAGGAAGCCAGAGAACGTTTTGTAGCTGATAAACCACCCACGGCTTTTGCACCCAAACAGTGCCAACCCGGAAGACTAACTTGTCCTCGTTCCAATCGAATGCGGCCAAGGGAAGCATATCAAGATGTGCACATAATGAGGGCGATAGAGTTTGTGATTGGGCATTGGCGACCACTTGTTTATCTATCATGTTAAATTCCATTTTGATTAGTTTAGTGTTTGTGTCCCAGACTGTAATAACGCTAGCTGATTTAGAAATGATGGTCTGGGCATCAGAGGAAATTGTCATGGCCAAAATTGGGCCCGCTCGTCGCTGCAAGACGCCGATTGACCCGCCGGTTGCTGGATCCCAGAGCTGCACCGAAGCATCCATTGAAGCGGAGACAAGAATGCGACCGTTAGAGGAATATGCGAGTTGATTAACCCTATTCACATGGCCTTTTAGAACACACCGCCTCTTTTTTACTGTTAAGTCCCAAATGATGATAGCATGGTTTTGATATGATGCCGCCAGGTCATTCCCATTTGGTGAGAACGAGATTGTTCTGACCACCCTATCCGTCGCCACGAGGCTGCCATAGAATTTCCCGGTTACCATATTTCCAAAGATGTATCGTATCATCGTCCGTGTAAGCGAGAAGGTTATTTGCAGGTGAGAACTCCACTTTATCACGAAAATCCACAAAATCAGGAATAGTGAACGTTGAGATGCCCGTTGACGGGTCCCATAATTCAGTTGTTTCATCGGTCGAATAGGAAACGACATAATGCCCATTGCCCATAAATTTCAGCTCAGAAATGTGAGTTTCATTAATATCAAGAATGTCAACATTGATCGTATCCTAGAGCTTCACGGTACGGTCGACGGAGCCGGAAGCAAGTTGGCCGGTGGATGAAAACTTCAATGTGGTTACGTTCGATGTATGCCCCGCAAGAATTCCACGTAGAGTTTTGGTTTGCGGATCCCAAAGCTTCAAGTATCTCCCTGAAGCTGTCACAAGCAACTTGCTGTCTGGAGAAAAAGCCATACATGTTGTTACTACCTGAGTATTGTCTCCAATGGAACCGTATAGAGATAATGTCTTCACATCCCATACTTCGATTGATCCATGTGATATACACGCAATTGATTGGCCATCCGGCGAAAAGGCAAACGGCGACATCCAAGATGGATACCCTGATCTGACTTGCGTAAGAATTCCGCAGAGGGTTGCCGTGCGTGGATCCCATATCCTTACCGCACCATCCAAGGATGAGGATGCAATGCAATTTCCATCATGAGAGAATTCCAGTGTTAGAATACAGTGTGAATGAGTGAGGGTTCCAAGGGAACAGTTTGTTTTCGCATCCCAGAGCCGAACTTGATGATCGTCATGGTCATCTCTGTATCCAGCAATGAATTCACCGTTTGGAGAGAACGTTATTCTGTTACCTAGGGTTTCAAAAGAAAAGGCTTGAGCTTTTTCAAATGACAAATTAGATTCCTCACGGAAAAGGATTTTCGAGTGACCTGATTTTACTTCCCATAGCCGCATGCTTTTGTCCACAGATGTCGATGCGATATACTCACCATCGGGTGAAAACGCGATCCAACTAACACGGCCTACGTGACCTTCAAGAGTGGAGTGAATGACAGCTCTCTTTGAATCCCAAATTCTGATCTTATCATCGAAAGCAGATGTGCTAGCGAGGAATTTGCCGTCGGGTGACAGTGCCACTTTCCGTTTCTTTGTCCCTCCAGCAAAGTAACTTTGCGAAACATCGGGAAAGGCACTTCGAAAAGCGCCAGTCATTGTATCCCATGCCTTAGCCGTGTCAATATCCGACGAAATAAGAAGCTGGCCATCGGGAGAAAAGAATAGTTCGTCGATCGCACGCGAATGCTCGAGTGTTAGCAGGGAAGGGCTCCAATCCTCCTCGCCTGAAACAACGTCCGTTATCCAGGGGGGGAGGTGGTCCCAGAATTGCTGGCGGATTATGCTTTTTTTCGGACTAAACACAAGAGCTGAAGAATATATTTGCAACGGGGAAATTTCGATGGCGGATCTAAAGTTCAGGATAAATCTTTTCATATCGTAAACTAAGGAGAACAAGGACGAGTTGGCCCCGGATTTTGGCTTTTCCCGTCAGCTACTAAGACACTCTAAAATTTTTGTTTTAGGTTACTCACCATAACTAACGTCTCTAGAAGTCTAACCATGACTATTCCGTCCGATATAATCCCCATGAGGCTAAGACCTTCAATCCAATGAAGAAGGTGCTTCTGGAGGAAGATGTGAACCTCTCCATTGTCGATGAGCTTAGTCTGGCTTTTGTCAAGATGACGAATCCAGTGTTTACAAGCATACTGAACACTTTGTGGAAGGAACTTTTCCACTGTACTTTTTTCCACGTCAGCAACGGAGGTCCCGGGGTGTCGAAGGTCGCACATATCTTGTTTCAGATGTTTTGACATGAGTTTGAGACATTTGCTTAGCAAACCACCATGTGCGACTTCTTCTTTGATAGTGAATGCAGGGTTTGCACATCTTTCTTCACTGAAGACAAAGTCTCGAAAAGAGAGGTGGAACAGTTGGATCGGCAAATTTTCATCTTCGGGAATATCCAACACAGAGTGAAGGGATTCGAGTATTTCCGTAATATCCGTTGATGAAAGGTCAAGTACCGAAGTCAGCGTAGATCTTGAAAGGGCCTCGGCGAGGACGAGGAGAGATCCAACTATTTGCTTGAACAGAAACACCATATCTTCCTTGTCTTCGTGGCTGCCTTCATCGAGAATGTGATTTAAAATTTCCGAATACATTCTGTCAAGCTCGCTGGTGGACGACCGGCTCATAACCTCTGTGTGGAGGATTTCATCCATACGCTTTTCTGGAAATCGAGATTCGCCTATAAACCGGCACACAGTCGCGGCATAGATGAAAAGACGGTCGGCCTTTTGAACGAGAGTTTGAATACTCTCATCACCAGGCCAGCGTTCGTCGATACGTCGTATGCTTTTAACTTTCTCTAGTTCGTGTCTCAGGAAAATTGAGATATCGCTCTCGATGACGGCTTTGGGGACTGAGTGAAGAGTAAGGTCATGATGGACGATGTCGGGTAGTTCGCGGAAACTAGCGTAGATTGATCGTTCCGGTCTGCTAGTTAGGAACACTTTCACCTGCAAAACTTCCAGCTCTCTCAACTCGGTTAGGAGCTGCAGGATTTCGCCAAGGTGCTCATCACCTTCGCACTCATCAAGTGCGTCAAGAACAAAAACTAAGACAATGGGCAACAGCAACTTTCTATCTAACCTGAGAAGAGGCTGAAATATAAGTCTCCTCCACTGGTTATATAGTGGTTGCTGGCCAATATCACCATGTTGTTCTATAACATCGCAAATGTCATTTTTCAAATCGGGCAAGGCCTCGGCTAGCTGGACAGCAATAGTCGTCAAAACTGCGGTGGCAACCCCAAGATCTTTCTTACCCCTCGAGAAGAAAAAGCTTGCTCCAAGTCTCCCTTTTTTGTGGAAGTGATGGGCGATAGTGCGAGCGAGGGTAGATTTACCAGTCCCAGCAAGTCCTTTAACCCAAAGTATACATTCCTCACGATGGCCATCTCCCCAGTGCTGAATTTCGTGGAGAATATCAACCCGGGTACCTTCTAAGCATATTGGGGGAGGTCGATCTGCCTTGTTATATGTATTAAACGCAGCATACTCCACACGATGCAGTTTTCCAAGCAATTGTGACTGGTTGATTTTCTGAAACGAAGAGAAAACGCATATTCAGCATAGGGTCGTGATGATGAGACGCATAACAAGGCGACGGGATATATTTACCTCAACACTAGCTTTAGTATCGAGCAAGACGCTCAAGACGTCATCCGCGTTGTCTCGAAGAATAGCAATTTGCTCGCCTATCATTTTCAAGGCTCTGCTATCGAGTGTATCCAAAACTTTGTCGATGCCCTCCTCGGTGGCTTTTATGCTTTCTAGCATACCCTGCCAATCATCGGCAATTACACAGTCCCTCAAGAAGCGGAATAGCCCTCGGCGTGCGTATTGCTGGGATAGGCTTATTTGATATTTCAGTATCTGGGAGTAAATGCTGATCGCCTGGGCTCTGAAGGAGGCATTTAATTCTACCAGATATGTTGGCGGGCTATGTGAATGAATTAGCACAGGTCGGGAATTTTACTTCAATGGGAGGCAAGAAGGACACTAATGGCTAACAGTAGGAGGCTTTTACCCTGAGCTTGAGGCTGCAAGCGTACATGCAAGGTTTTCACGATAGGTGTCCTCCATTACCTTACACCGAACCAGAAGTTCCGATATATATTCAAGACCTTCCATAGCGTCGTCATCTTGTGTGATTGGATTTGCAATGGCCTGCCAAATGGAACAATTAGCAAAGTAGAGAATGGCTCGGTACATGGTGACTTACTGGAAGAATAATCATTACTCCCGTCCATACTAGCGCAGCATGCGGCTCTACGGAGGCCACAGTGCCGATGTAATCCTTCACCGAAAGGATCGAGTGCACAACTTTTCTAACCTGATCTTTAATAACAACATCTTTTCCATGTATTGAAATCCTCATTTGCGAGTGTTCAATGTCCTGGAGCTTCGAATTCAGTAGTTTCTGAAGCTGCATCTCTCTATCGTCGCCTTCAGGTGCTAAATTTCCATCACACGTTAGCTTATATTCGGATTTTTCAGAAGATAAGCCTGGGGAGTTAAAAATAAAATCCCCCCGGATAGCTAATTGGTCTCTGCTCCTTTGTCCTTGTGTAAAGGGCAGTTTCAATCACACACACCTCTCTGTTCCAAGTCCTGAATGGCAAGCAGGTCTCGCTCATAGGCGTCTACAAGCTTTGCGTCTTCCTTTCGAAGCTCATCGTATGCTTCATCCCAGAGGCTATTCAAATTCAGGTCCTGGATAGGCTTAGGAGCCTCGTTTTGTATGCTAACAACTTCTAGAGTATGTTTCGAACTGGGTTCCCCTAAACTGTCTGAGTTTGCGAGGACTGTGGTGGACGCGGCAACGAAGACCGAAATGTTAGCCGGATCCAACTTTGGGATATGCGATTCTGGGATCGTATTCGCCTAGGTGGAGAGCACGTCAAAATTATCCCCAAATATAGGAGAGAATAAACGGACATTCACAGCAGTTGTTGCATCTTTGGTGATGTTAGCCCGGTGGTTTTTCCCCCAAAGGCGCTTCAGCCAAGCCCTGGTAGGCATAATTTTCCCCTATCCGAGAGATCGCTGTTGACAACGAATAGACAAACCCCCAATACTATCAAGGCCACTAGACAGGTAAGATCCAAAGCCTGGACAAACTCGGGATCTCGACTCATGCTGAAAATATGTTGCAAGGCCATCTTCCTTATAACTGAAGGGCTTGACGAGGCACTTTAGAAACACAGCCTTGTGTGCAGTACAATGGGCTGACATTGGCGCTTGACCACAGAGCTTGGGGGATGTTTATTGGGCCTGAACCCGGCCCTGGAATGCCAGAGACCCTGGTCTCGCATCAGGCGCTGCATTTTGGCTGGGCGGCTATGGGCAGAAGCCGGCTGGTGATTGGTACACGTGTGACTCGTACATTCCAAACACAAACAAGTCTATTTATTAACGCTTTGAATCTCCAGAAATTGGCGATTAAAGGTTGACTGGATGAGTTACTTACCAGTGCCAACTAACGGGCCCGGCTCGGCTCGCAGGGAAGCTAAGCAAGATCGGGAAATTTAGGCACCAAGCCCTGGACGGCGGAGTCCAAACACCGTAACTACTCCGTAGTTACCCTGCATCCAACTTTGGGCTCTGATTTTGAAGCTCTGGTGGTTATTTGTTTTTAGACCTTTCCCCCATCGCCATGTAGTATTCTGATTCGGAGAAGCTAAAAACATTACTTCATGAATTCCGAATTTGGTTGACATGCCTGTAGAGAAACCGAGATTCCGAGAAATAACTATCCCACCCCGAAAGTCAGCTACGCATGGGCTCTGGTAAGAGTAAGTAGTGGGTGTGTGCCTTATGACGCGCAAAAGGCGACCAGGTCGATTGTTGGGATAAAAATATTTCTTCAAGTCATAGGCTGACAAAATTATTCTGTGCAAACAGATGGCCGTTACATTGGCACAAGGAAAAGGGAACTGGAATCAGTATAAGCAGAGGACAGCAGATTGATTGCCCTCTGGAGTCCCCTTGTCCAGCTGATATGTCGTTGACCGGATTGAACATGATTTAGGAGGTGCCAACACTAGCTTTAGTCAATATTAGTTAAGAGTCACAGCCTCACAGAGGCCCACTGAACGGCCCTACCCCACAATCAAGAACGTTTCTTGCTGATATGGCCGAGCAGCTCACCTCAACAGCTCGCGAGCCATTGAGGGTGGGTGTGTATCAAATTATTTTCACTGGAGAACTAGTGTCGCTGCCCCAGAATTTGGTGGTAAGGGAATTGGTTTTCCACAGGCTCTTAATGTCTGTTCGAAGATGTCTCTCGTTCTCTCTCTGTGTGTGTTGCCCCTCTCAATGGAGCAAAAAAAGTTGAATTGATTTATTAGATTATCTCCTTCTAATGTGCGCACATAGATGTTATCATGAGGAGCACTACAATTTACAACAAGAATGTAAGGAAGAAGGTTTGGGGATATTTGAGAGAACATGTACTGTACATACTGGAAGAGAAAACCCATGACAGTATTCATCCAAACCCCCTCAAACTATAACTATGATATAGCTCATGAAAGTCAATCTCTCCAAGGTCTTCATTAGTTCTTGTACTGTACAGTAAGTACTGTACTGTGTATCACATAGATCAACAAGTGAGCTACATTAGAAGGCTAAGTCAGTAAGTATTCATATGAATGATGAGGAGTCTCTTGTGAGCGTGATAGGAATTTACGAACCTGAAGACTACATGGCTGAAGAGAGACAATTAATAATATTAACATGCTGCTCTTTATGTTCACAACTCCTTGATTTGATGCCTCAGCAAAGATGTAAGTCGTCGTACAAACGGGGCTGATAATGCATGCGTGGCTGGTGAGTGCATGCGCCACATCCTCAGGCAATAACCCTTGTCTGTGGCAGTGTGGCTTATGAAGCTCCAAAAGCCGGAGGCTATTTCTCAAATGCGCTCCACGATCTATTTACGGATTATTCTGTATAATGCTGCCAGCTGCTGGAATTTTATGGGAAACTCTTTAGCAGGGAGAGCCAATCATGTAACTAACTGACTCCTCAGTGACTCACAGTGGCCCTGATGGATGACCAAGAGGTTTGCTGCTTATGTCTTGGCAGCTAGGGCTGTTCCGCTCCGCGACAATATGCAAGCGTCCAGGCGACGGTATCGTGGCACGCTCGATTGTTAACTTGCTAAGCTGCCTGTTGCTCCTTGCACTAGGTGCCTGATATCTGATGGAGCCGCGGGTTTTCCTCAGCTGTGGTTTGTCCAGTTGGCTCGCCTCTGAGTCAATTGCGACTTGCTGCCTGCGAACTAGAGTAAAACTCAACTCTGCGAGTCGTTCCACTTGCGACTCGGTCACATAAAATATATACTTTCCTTCTCCCCTTCTTTTTCTTCTTTAGTTAGAGTAATATTGCAGCCTCAGTCATGGGCTGTTCTAATTCCACCCAGGCGGGCGAGGAGCCCGACGCCGAACGAACCGTTATCAAATCTCTGGATCACTATCAAATCGGCACGCCCTCAACAAACTCCACCCTTCTATTACCGGATGTCCTAACTCTCGAAACGACTACACAAGCGGGACCTCCCCTAGCGAAGGATTCAGCATTGGACATGGAATTTTCCCTAGACGTATTTGCTGAGAACGAACGGGAATTCGATGTTACAATGCTAGAAATAGCAAGCGAAATATTCACAGAGCTATATGGAAACCCAGATTTTGCTCCCGGCATTTTTGCGGAGGAGGAAAAGGAGTTCGATCTTGCGATGATGGACATAGCTGACGAAATATTCACGGAGCAATATGGAAACCAAGAGATTCCTGCAGCAGTCGATACCCCAGTAATCATTCCCGAGGTGAAGGTGAAAATTGAGGATTGCTCCGTTTGTTACCATCCTGTTTCCGAGACAGCCCTGTCTTCCCCGTGCAAATCATGTACTACTCGTACCTGCACAGTTTGCATTCGGAAAATGTTTATCTCAGCTTGCAGCGACGAGTCTTGTATGCCGCCACGTTGTTGCGGCCCTCTAAATATCGGTGCCGCTGTCTCGGTTCTTACTCCAGACGAATTAGAGATGTTCAAAAGCAAACATGAGGAATGGGCGACCGCCAACCGTGTCTATTGCCCTGTCCCTATATGTTCTGCGTTTATTCCCTACAGGCTTTTTCCTCCCGATTACCGCCCTACTTCTACTTTTCCAAAGCCGAAAGCGAAAAGGGACGTCCCAGTGCCTCCCGGCCCAACACAACTGCAAACCCCACCTCCAACACCCCCAACCTCGACTTCACTGCCACCTCCGGAGCCCGCCTCAATCCCGTGCCCTGGCTGTTCCATTGAGATATGCTGCAAGTGCAAACAGCTTGCGCACCAAGGCGCGCTGTGTCCTGAAGGTGCAGGCGAGCTGGATCCAGAACTAGCCGCGCTCTTGAAGAAATGGAAAATCAGAAGATGTCCCAAATGCCGTGGAGCAGTACGATTAATGTATGGCTGCAGCCATATGGCTTGTAGATGCGGTGATCAATGGTGCTGGCACTGTAGACAACCTATTGAAGTGTGTCAGGCATATGGCTGCCCCGGCGAGAGTTCTGACGAAGAGGGCGATTCGTACGATTCTGATTTGGGCGAAAGCGACAACGACAACGAGAATGAAACTGGAAATGATGAAAGGAACAATCAAATTCCTCCAGAAGACCGAGACCTAGACAGCGGGACTAGAGAACGTTGGGAAGATGGAGAATTTTTCTTCGGCGAAGAGCCCGTTCCTCAAAATTTTGACCCTTTTGACTGCTATCACACCTGGATGAAAGCCACCACTGAAGATGTAAACCGGAGCCTGGATTTTGCTTGTGAGAAATGCTGGCGTCATATCTCTCCCAGGCCATTTACATATCCCGAAGTGGTAGAACTATTGGAGCATGGATTCATCCCCGAAAAGTCGGTCGCAGATGGTGGAAACCAGGAGAAGCTTAGCCTGAGGCTGTTTATGTGCGCTCGATGTTCCATAATGCTTTGTGATGATTGCCGGGACGAGGACACAGCGATAAAAGTTGCTGGGAAGACGTGGGAATGGGCCAAAGTAACATGAATTACTCAATCTGGCGTTGATGCTATCACGACAATTTTGGCGTTTTTGATACGGTGGCTATGCAAACATTTCTGTTCTCCTTTTTCGTGGATTTTTCTAACATTTCGCGGAGGAGCGTTTTATTTTTCTATTTTTTTATTTCTTTTATTTTTTATTTACTTTTTGGCAATCTCCGTCGCGTTTTCTTACTCTACTTGTTCCATCCTTTTTCCCTTTCTTGTTGAACTTCGCTATGACGAGTATCTTGTGTACTCACTCCGCTTAAACCCTCTCTCTTCAACCCATCCTTTCTACCTTCCTTTTCACCTTTTTCTTCATATTCTGTCCAGTGGATTTGCCACTGGGGACAACTATATATCTGACATTTATATTCTGGCATTTTTACATACCACCGTCAACCGTACATAGAGAGGTGCAGTGGATTTCAATGATATAACTGGAAATCACAGGCCAAATGCTTTATTGATCAAATGCTTTTCCTCAACCAATATCTAAATGAACAATAAGTTGATGCTGTTGAACTAGGCAGGTTAAATATCTGAGCCGCCAAAGGGGGCAAGCTGGTGGGTACCTAGGTAAGCTCACAAATATCACGTGAATTATTGTGGCGGACATATTACTTGCGAAAACAGAATTTTCCCAGCCCCCCCTGAAAATTAGTAGCAAAACACCACCAAAAAATCAAAATATTCACATTTCTCTAGAATCATTCAATATCATTCAATACATGTCTTTTTCAATCAAATATCATTCAAATACACGTCTTTCTTACCTTTATCATCAATATGTCACCTCAACTCTGTGATTTCATCATCAACAAGATTATACACCTTCTTAAGAATGATTATATATCTGCTGAGATCACACAAAGTATTGATTGTCATCTGACTACTGTATATCAAATTCAATGAAATCTTCACTGCTTTGAAACTGCTAGAGGACCTCATTCAACACATAGTGTAAAGTCAAAGATCACATCAGATATCTTGTCAGAATTAAAGGATTTTTTCAAGACATATTTAACTGTATATCACAATGAGACTGTCTGCTTTGTGAAGAATGAATTTGATGTTGATATTCATCTACAGTCAATATCTAGAGTGTTGAAGAAACTGAATTTAATATGAAAGAAGATAATTAATATTGCAATCAAATATCACTTAATGTATAGAATCTACTAATTCATTAGTTCTATAATATAGGTTGAACTCATAGTCACTCAATATAATGAAGAACTTTGAGCTGAATAATGTATTCAACTCACTCAGTATCTCTCTAATTAACTGATCTTTTTGAATGAGAGTGCTGTAAACAAATATACAGCAGATTAATGATATGAATGATTAAGCAGAGAATTTCCTTATCACTGTCACACTCCCGGCCGCGCCAAGGCCCTGTTGCGGTTTCACACGGCTCATTGCTTTCATGCAGATGATTTCATTCTGTCTGAACCAGTTTTCAACCACTCTATGACATCATTCAGATATATCATAGAAAGATTCAATTGATGAATATAAGAACTCTACTTCTATACAAGGTCAGCAGATTACTTTTTCTTAGCAGTGAGATGCTACTGAGGTATTACTCTGACTATTCTCACTCATGAAATGAGAGAAGATATTCACTCATTATCTATATAAAATAGCTAGATACTGGCTTCTTATAAAAGAAGTCAGTGATTTGTTTCTTTTACTATGAAAGAAATATACATAAGAGTTACTGTGTGTCTTATACAATCTTCTTAGTATACTAAGTATCATATCTGTGATATTCTTACAATAACTCTGTAGTCTATGAGCTCACTATTTAAGCAAGATAGTCAAGCTCACTTATACAGCTTCTTAAATAACTATCTCTATATAATATTACTGACTAGTTATCACTTCAGTTCTGTTATATTACAATTTGAATTACTTAATCTGATTACATGTTTGAATCAGTTAAGCTCTAACAGACTAATATAATCTTATACATTTACACTGAGATCAATCTGATTTCACTCTCTGAGAGAAATACTACATTATTTTCTAGAGTGTGTACATCTCTACTCTGACAGAAATCTGAGATTTCTGAACTCACTGTGTATTTTAATATGAGCTCTTTAACTGCTCTGTTATCATCACAGCCTCTACACATCTACATCTATTATAAAGATAGAGAGATTAAGATCAGAGATTCACTGAGATACAAGAGAAACATCTTATCTGAATTTCACAGCTTTATCTGTATTCTTGAACAGAAATTCCGCCTTAACCTGAGTCAGTATAATACTCATGAGATATAAGTAATATATATCATTAACTTTCTTGAAGACATCTCTGTGACTACTTGAGTCATTAAGAAGAGAGAGCTTGAGTGTATTAATACTGCTATGACTTGAGAAGAATTCAAGAACTTTCTACTGAATTAAATCAAAGATTACTACAACTGTGACTTCACAGTGATATAGTGATTCAACTTATTATATTAATAAGATGATGAAAATTCTTTCAATTTCAATATAAGATTCAAAGAATATTGAGAGAAATTGACTGATGATTTGAATCAATTAAAAACACAGCTTTATCTTATAAAGCTGACTTACAAGGTGTAAATAATAATATTATAATATCAGAGTTTATTAATCAATTACACTGAGCTTGTCAATCTAGCTTTCTGAATCTATTTGAATAATCAATTCTCTGAGAAAAAGGCTAACAAGACCTCTTCTAAGCAATTAATAATGAGATCTAAACAGTGTCATAACAGCTTCAGTGTGAAGAAAGTAAAGAAGAATTTCAAGTGTTCTGATTCTTCACTCACTGTAAAGAAATATTAAAAAAGATTTGATAAAGATCTCTATTTCAACTGCAGAGCTGATAATTACTATATCAGTGATTATAAGAAGCTGAAGAAGAAAAGAAACTAAGAAGATATCTTCTCAAAGTTAACTTCTCTTCTGACAAATATATTCATAGAAGATAAAGAAGAGAAAGAAAATAATTGATAATTCTCATATCTCTGAGTTCATGTTATAATTACAATATATACTCTGAATGAAAAGATATCAGTGAGATGTCTACTTAACTTCAGAGTGAATACTAACTTCATATTCTATTTCTTTTCTTTGATAAAGAGTTGAAAGAAGATAGATTCATCAGATTATGTGAAATTTACAGATGAAATGAAATGTTACTGTTTTAACATAATTTAAGCAAAGTATGTGATCACAGACTTAGAAGAAATCTTTAAGAAGAGCAGTCTGCTTCTTTATACAGTTAATATTATAGATGAGAACATCATTCTAGATCTTTTATAATTGAGAGAAAACAATTCTCTTATTAACTGAGTTACTTAGATGTGACAGTACTGCCTCACTGATAAAGAGACAGTGATAGAGAAATCTGAAGAGTTTCATTGAAAGAATCTTGAGAAAAAGATTAAGTTAATATACTGTGTAGTAGATAATTAAGACTTGAAGATAGATGAAGAAGTTATCACTCTCACTGCAAGATTAGCAGTAGTATCTGTTATTGAAGACAGATATACACAATGTCTCTTTATAGATTTTAAGAATGTCTTTTCAGAAAGAGAAGCAGTGAAGTTTCCTGATATCAAGATATAATATAAGATTTATCTTGAAGACAGTGTAACAGCACTGTACAGATCTCTTTACAACTTATCTATAAAGAAGTTAAATATTCTGTGTAAATATCTTGAAGAAGCACAATCAAAGAACTGAATACATTTATCAAAGAGTCTGACAGAGATGTCTATACTCTTTGTACTTAAGAAGAATGATAGACTATGTCTATACATAGACTACAGAGGTCTTAATAAGATGATGATTAAGAATTACTATTCATTACTGTTAATCAATGAGATGATTGATCAATTATCTGAAGCAAAGATATTCTCAAAGATTGATATATAAGATATCTATCATAGAATCAGAGTTAATAAAGATGATGTTTGAAAAACAGCTTTTCATACTAAGTACAGTAATTTTAAATATCTTGTTTTATCTTTTGATCTTTATAATACTTCAGTCATCTTTCAGATCTATATAAATGAGATGCTGTAAGGCCTTGTTAACATCTTCTGCATAGTATATCTGAACAACATTTTAATCTTCTTGAAATCAGAGAAAGAATATGATACTCATGTTCAAGAAGTGTTAAGTCACTTAAGACAGTATCAACTCTATATAAACACTGAAAAATGCTCATTCTACATGCAGAAGATTGATTTCTTAGATTATATTATTAAGATGAATGATATTTCAATAAACAGAAGCTGAGTCTCTGTCATTAAGAACTAGCTAATGCTGCAGACATATCATGAGATGCAGATATTTCTAGAATTTACAAATTTCTACAGACAATTCATCTATGCATATTCACAGATTACTGTCTCTCTTACAGATCTGTTGAAGAGAAGTGTGAAAGACAGGAAAACAGAATTATTTACTCTCACTCAAGACACTGTGCAGGCATTTGTGAAATTGAAACAAGCTTTCACAGATGCTATAATGCTGAATCATTTTAACTCTGATTTACTCAGTCAGTGTGAGACTGATGTATCTGAGAATAAGATCTATGAAATCTTTTCACAGTTGACACTGAAGATCTTTCAATATTGAAAGAATCAGAGAATAATCATCTCTGAGAAAATAGATAATGAATTATCTGTGAGAGAAGACTTTTTCACAGAGTCTATAAAATACTGTAAATGAAGATCAGTGACCTTCTTCTTCAAGAAGTTATCACTCATATAAAGAAGGTATAATACTCATGATCAGAAGATGTTAGCAATTGTTAAATTCTTTAAGATCTGATAATATTATCTTCAGAATAGTAAGTACTTAGTGTAAGTTCTCACTGATTATGTAAATCTGTATTACTTCTTGATAATAAAGAGCTTGACAGAACATCAAGTCAGATGAGTGAAGCTGCTTTCAGAGTATGATTTCTATATCTGATACTGTTCAGATTGACTTAACTCTGTCAACATGTTATCTAGACAGCTCAATTATAATATTATTAATGCAGAGAAGAATTCTATAAAAGAATCTCTATCATCACTGCAGAAGAAGCTGGCTGCAGAGAGTTGAGATTCTCTAAAGCTCAGAAACAGTGCTGAAGAGACAGCTGTGTGACTCAGTATAGAAGATGAAAGAGAACTCAGATCTCTGCAGAGAACTGACACTGAAGATCATGAGCTTCTTATATTATATCTTACAATCATTGAATTGATAAAGAATAAAACAGTCTATAATCTTTCAATCTGACTATTTTTAAAATTCATTAATAAGTTACAGAAGAGAGATGCCTCTACTGCAGCTTAAATTCAGAAGTTGAAGAAGAAAGAATCTGATTTAAACTTGAAAGAGACAGACTCTGAGCAGGGCAGTGTCATTAAGAAATCAAGTCACTGATAACTAGAAGAATATGAACTTCTACTGCTGAATAATTCAGTCTTCATCTCTCATAGCAGAGCAGTGTGTCAGAAGTTATTGAGAATTCATTATAATGATTCTCATATAGAGCACTTCAGATTAGAGAAGACTGAGAAGCTTCTAAAATATAAATATACTTGAGACAAGCTTCAGACAGATGTCAAA